TCCCACAATATTAATTAATGCCAGTTACCATGTAACTAAAGTAACCACTAAAATTATTTCTTTAAAATTACATCCCAAAGTACCTTATCAATATATCATATCAAAAGTAACATTTTATAATAAACAATAATCCCTCTGCCCCTTAATATACAATGCTATAATTTTCCATATATAAGTATTTTTTTTTCAGAAATCCCTTGTAATTCCACAACTCCACCATAACAACCATTAAAATTCAGAACACTTTTAAAATTACATCCCACAATATTAATTAATACCAGTTAGCATGTAACATTCAATCTTTATAGACTATCAATGTCCTAATTAGTTTTTCCCAATTTTTAGTTTCCCATTAATGTTTAAATTTAACATTTAATATTTATATTTTCCTAGTTTTAAATAACCACAGTTCCCTTTATCCCAATTCATCACCAAATCTAATGTTCAGGATACACGTCTTATCTATTTGAATATATTCTGTTTCTCACTATCTTATATCAACTAATTAATAATACAGTATAACATTCTTATTTTCTATTAATTTCCAAATGTCTTAAATTTAGTAACCAAAATTTCTCTTATTTCAACATTAAATACATCCTCTCTTTTTTCTTGGTGTCTACTATCTCATATTTAAGCTAGTAATTTTTATTATAGCAGCTAAGTAAAACATATTTATTACATTTATCAATAGATTTTTAGCTTATATATAAATTACTTTTACATTCAACCTTTATAAGCAAATCAATATTCAAATTTAACTTTTAATATTTATACTTCCAAGTTTTAAATGACCAAAGTTTTCTTTATCTCAGCTCATAACAAAATCTAGTATTCAAAGTACACATGTTGTCTATTTGAGTATGTTCAATTTAATAAGTCAAAATCCCAATTTTCTTCAGCCTTATTCTTTGCCAACTCGCCTTCCATGTCCGTGCTTTTAAATCATCAAATAGATCTCCCTGTATTATTATATATATTGTTTGAAGTAGAAAAGGCCATCCGGTCACCATTTTTTTGGAAGGACTAACAAATCTTCTATCATAGTATTTAATTGTTCTACTTCTTCTATTACATTCTTTGTAGTTAATTCTTTAGTTGTAATCAAAGTTTGGGTTTTTATATCTAGGCTGACATCTTGTTCTTTTCTGTAGCTTCTTATTTCATCAGTAGCTTTAAGAATAGTTTCATAAATTGCTTTCAACATAAAGAGAATCTGTTCTTGATCTTCATCCATGTTCTCTTAGTAAAGTGTTAAGTTAAAAGCTTTACAATCAGAGAATGAAAATAATTTTGTCACTGAGTATAGAACTCAGCTGGGCTTCTCACAGCTGATATCTCTCAAGGTTGCAGTCTTATCTATAGTCTGGACTTCAAGCCAAGTCTCTTTTAGATAATAACAAATTGTAATATCAGATTTAGTCACAAGATGTCACCCATACCATTTAGGGGTTGTTGTTTTTTAAGTCCAAAATTTTTATAATCCTTTGTTCAGTTTTACTTCTTTTTGTAGTAAAAACCCAAATCTTCAATAAGAATAAGAAATATTTTAGTCCACAAATTTTAGAAAGATAAAGATCCAGTCAGAATCAAATTATTTTTACAATGTTTTAAACTCTCCTGGATAGTCAGTTGCCGCTGTTTTTAGAGGGTGGGATAGAATCTCCCTTCCCTCTCTCACAGGGGGAAAAATACCCAAAGTTCTTGTTACACTGTTGCTGTGTGAATTCCTTTCTGGAGGCAATTTAAGGAGCTGATTATCACTTTTAAAGCCCTAGATAGCCCGAACCAGGTTGTTTGAGGGACTGCCTCTTTATGGATATGTCTACCTGTCCAACTAGATTAGATATTGAGTTTGTTGTTTCTGTTAAAGCATAAACCTGTTAGAGATATTTTCTCTGTGTGTGTTTGTGTGTGTGTCTGTATAATGCTTATTTCACACATAATTTTTCTGCCTATTTTATAGAATAAAATGCAACACAATAAGTACCTAAAATGCAATAGAAACTGCATAAATTAGTATTAAATGGGAACCTGGTGTTGAAAAGAGTTCAAAGAGAGGCATAGTTTGACATTTTGAGTGTATATTACAATAAACTAAAAAATGGCAGCTACTGAGAACATGACTGACTGGCATCCAGCATGCTTTTTATATCAAATTATCTTTGTCTTCTTTCTCAGAAAATGGATGTGTTTCCAATAAAAAAAGAATTGCAATCAACCACCATTTTTATATTAAAGAATGTTTCGGCAGTTTCCTCTACAGTCTCACCTCTGATACTTATGTGGTAATTCTGCTGAGGAGATTATGGAAATTGAAGTCTAAACCTATGGAGAATGAGGTTCATAGAAGCCTTCCTTTCAGAATAACAGAATAACAGAGTTGGAAGGTGTCAAAACTGATGTGCCTTTCACCTAGATTTTCTCTTTTGCTCATATCTTGACAATATTATGCAAGGGTGGGAGGAATGGTGTCTAAGCCATAGGGAGCCAAAGGCCAGATCTCGGAGGAGAAGTGGACTATTCCCATAACAAGAAGAAATATTACTATTGGACAATGTGAACACCTGGTGGGTGGGGGTGAGGGAGTGTATCGTTTAACTAAGCAAGTTTTCTGAGCAGCAAAACCAAAGTTGATTTCACTTTCTTCTGTTCGAATGTGAATTTTTCAGTAAAGTAGTATAGTCTTGGTAAAATCATGTCCTAGGAGTTTCTTTTTCTGGAAATGCCTACTGGACACTTGACAGGAAACCCTATACCATTTCAGACAAATGGTTGTCCAATCTCTTCTTAAAATCTTCCAGTGTTGGAGCATCCACAATTTCTGGAGGCGTTACACTGATTAATTGTTCTGTCAGAAAATTTCCCCTTAGTTCTAGGTTGCTTCTCTCCTTGATTAGTTTCCATCCATTGCTTCTTGTCCTGACTTCAGGTCCTTTGGAGAATAGGTTGACTCCCTCTTCTTTATGGTAACCTCTTAGATATTGGAACACTACTATCATGTCACTTCTAATAATTCTTTTCATTAAACTAAACAAAATCAATTCCAGCAACCATTCTTTATATGTTATCACCTCCAGTCCCCCAATCATCTTTGTTGCTCTTCTCTGCACTCTTTCTAGAGTCTCAACATCTTTTTTACATCATGGCGAGCAGCAGATACTGCTCAGTAGACACTAGACTGGCAGTCTCTTGGATAAACCAAGTCACAACTAAACGTATAAAAACTAAAACTGAGTTGTTACTGGATAACTCTGGTCTGAAAATACATAGCCACAGGTAAAGCATGAGTGTTTCTGTGAATATAGGAATAAATTGGCCAAATTTAAATGCAGAGGACATTACTTTCAATGGGCTCAAGTAAAATAACAATTTTCATCCTGACCCGTGTTTCTGGACTTAACTGGTGAGGAGAAACCTCCATGCATTCCCAGTTCATATCTTTAAAGAGTTAAATGGGAGAAATACTCAGAAAATTCTAATATATGTTCAAAATATCTTACTAACTACAGTTTAATCATTACCAAGGATGACTGTGAGATACTCGTCTGCCTTTCTAACATTAAGGGGTCCGTTCTTACAGGTAATCTTCATTTTCAGCTAGGTTTTAAGAGTTTAATTCTTCTGTTCCTTTTGGAGCTTTTCAGTTGGCAGATACTGTCTCTGATCAAATTGTGTTGCAAACGTTCCATTAGAGTCTCTAAAGAACTTGCCTGTTAAAAAGAAAAATGGGTTGGATGGTTCCTATTTCAATACTGTTCCTATCTACACTTATCATTATGCTCCTTTTGAGAATGGGCAACCCCTGGAAGAAGAGCTCCAAAGATTTTCCACCAGGACCCAAGCCTTTGCCTGTTGTTGGAAACCTCCACATCATGGATCTGAAGAAACCTTACCAGACAATGTTAGAGGTAACATTTTTTTTTTATCCTTTCTGTTGCAGGGAAAAATTGCAGTATTCTCTGACTTTTGTAAGCCAGGGAAATTAAAGCTTGCTCTGACTAAAGAGAAATGCTCTTATTAAATCAAATGGCTCATTCATTCCCGACAAATAAAAGAATGTCCTATTTGTTCTTTTTTTTTTTGAATCTAAGCCCTGAATCTAGGTAGATCTTGATAGGCATCAACACAATATATTACTATAGAAAGACAAAATGGATAGTTTTGAGATGAGGGCTTTGAAATAGGTGTGGACCATGTTCAGTTTAAAATAACTCCAACTTATTTTTATCCCCCCCCAAAAAATAAAAACATGATATATATTTTTAGTAAACAACGGCATATATCCATATAAATAATGTGTAAATACTGTACATTATATTAGAAATATCATGTTTCCCAAGATGTTTATTACGGGTAAATTTAAACAAAAATGCATTTCTTTGAGAAACGTACACAAAATGTGATCACACCAAAAATATATTTGGACATTGAACAACTTTAAGATTGGTTAATTGAGGGAAACCCAAATGGATCCATTTATTTAATGTTCAGAGGATTCAAAGAGTTTCATGAATGAAAGCAAGTGATCAAATCCCTTCTGAAAAAGATGGGTGGGTCACAAAAGGGGGCAATGTTCATGCTCACTAAAATCCAGTCACAACATTTGAAACTCACTCAATACCTAAAACTCCCCAGTCCTCTCTTCTCTGTCCTTGGCTTTCCAATACTCTCTCTATCAGGGGTCCCCAACCCCTGGGCCAGGGCTCACTACCAGGCCATGACCTGTTCTGAACCGTTGGGCAAGCATGTCCGCACTCAGCTCATTTGTGCAAGTGGCAGGTGCTTGCACTTACACGTGAAGCTCCATTTGCGTGAGTAGTGGGCGCTTGTGCTGGCACGTGAAGTTCCATTTGCATGAGTAATATGTGCTCTCGCGCAAAGCTCCATTTTCAGGAACACACACATAAGCCTGCAACTCACATGGAACCATTCCTTCTCCCTTTATGCCAGACCGCTAAGCCAGAGAGCTTGGAGACCACTGCTCATAACCTCCTCCCTCCATCTTTTTCTGCCCCAGAATTTAATGTAGAATCTGAAGCAAAGTTTTACTACTTGGCCTGTACATTTCATAAATGGTCTTTTTTCTTAGGTAAATATTTTTTATTATTGTGGATGTGTATTTCAATCTGCAAAATGTACATATTCTCATTGTGATTTATAAAGGGTCACTTTTTGACCATAGCTATCTCTCTTCCTTTCTTTTTTCCAGCTATCCAAACAGTATGGACCTGTGTTCAAAATCCAACTGGGAGTCCAGAAAATAGTGGTGCTAACAGGATATGAGACCATAAAGGAAGCTCTGATGAATAACGCTGATGTGTTTGCTGAGAGGCCCCGCGTCCCCATATTTGAGGAGTTTTCAAGGGGTTTTGGTGAGGACCTTCATTCCATGTCCATACAATTGGGAAACATATAACTGTACAATGGAGCATTTGTAACAAAGTTATCACAGGAGCAGTACAAATTAGATATGACTGAAACTAGTTTTTAATTTAGAAATTTAATTTCAGCTTGTTCCAAAATAATAAGTGAAAGAGGTATAAGGGAACACAGGGAAAAATGAAAGTATTTTTTTTTAAATAACTGTGGATAGCAACTGAAAAAGGAAAAACCATGTCAGAAACTAAATATAGGGAGTAACTACAGAAAAACAGTATAGTATAGCTCTTGCTAAGATTTAGTGCTATTCATTGGATAATTGTATATTCTGGAATAAACAATACCACAGGGTGATTTTTAAAAAGATGATGTATTTCTTTGCTTTCTTTAAAAAGTCACTAGCCAGTTCTCTGCATAGGGATGGTCTTTGTAATTATTCTGTTATTTGAGACCATAGATTTCTTTCTCAAATTCTTCCTCTAATGATTATCTGGATATTTTGGCACAGAATTACTTGGCTCTCTCCCAATGAATGGCTTAGATCAGTGTTTCCAAACATACCAACTTTAAGACATGTGGATTTCAACTTACAGAATTGGCTGGGGAATTCTGGAAGTTGAAGTACAGACATTTTTAAGATAGCAAAATTAGAAAACTTAACTGAATGTTTAAGAAATATTCCTTGGGTTGGAAGAGCCAACTGGATGACCTGTAGAGAGTACCTCTCTTCACAATCAGTTGAAATTTTGAATACTCTTTGGTTTTTCAGGAGTAGCTTTTTCCCATGGTGAGAATTGGAGAGTGATGAGGCGATTTATGTTAACCACATTACGGGACTATGGGATGGGTAAGAGGTCTATGGAAAGCAGAATAGCTGAAGAGTGCAGTTTCCTGATAAAGAAGTTTGAATCATATAAAGGTGAGTTTGTGTTTCTTCTTGGGTTAAAGAGGTTATCAATCTTATGTTATCTTGAAGGGGTTGATGTTTCTTCATGACCTATTCCAGATTTGCAGAACTGTTGTTCTTTTTAAATAGATTTATTGAAGGGCTTTTACAATGCTAAAATGTAATAAAAACTCAAATCAGAAAAAACTATAAAATAGAAGAAACAAAAAATGCAAATAGGAGAGAGAAAAGGATGAATGAGAGAACGAGGGGGAAGAATTTAAAAAAAAGAAAAGAGAGAGAAAAAATATTATTTAAAAAAGACTCAAGATCTTTCTTGCAACAAGTACAGGAAAATTACATAATGTTCACCTTTTCCCATATTGAAATGTTGACGAAATTCCATATTTGATATCTAGGAAAACCATTTGAATTCAGAGGAATAATGACTTCAGCTGTTGCGAATATCATAGTATCCATTTTACTTGGGAAGCGATATGACTATGAAGATCCAAGATTTATTAAATTATTGAGCTTGGTAACAGAAAATGCCAGGCTTTTGGGAACCCCCTCAGTGCAGGTAATGATTATCCATCTGAAAAGCATTAAAAGCTCATTTAATGTGTAGGCAAAGCAGTGTGCAAGGCAGGATTCATTGCAAAATCCAGAATCTAATGTCTAACATTGAAAAACTTTGTAATAATTCAATATATATATATATTTAAAAATGACACAATATTTCCATCATTCTTCCACTTGAATGTACAAGTATGTATGGAGGTATGTCATATTTATATCCTATATCAAACATTTCTTGCAATGGGAACTTGATGAAATTCTGGTTCCATTTTCCAGTCAATTTACAGAAGAGGTATAAGAAAGGCTAGGATCAATTTCAAATGTGTTTCAATCACTAAGAACAAATAGATGAGAATTATATATGTTAATGAGAGCAACACAATATTAACTAGAGCTGTCTATGACAGGACCTCCAAAATTCCCCACCAAATTTGTGGTGGAAATACTGCATATTGCAAGCCCTATGTTTAAGGAAACCAATAGGAAGTCCATCTCTGAATTGTAGTTGCTCTATATTATTATGTGCTTATATATAAACATATATCATTTGTAAAGTCTATCCACAATGATATTCTAGGTATGTGACTTCTTTTATTTTGTATGTTTCAGTTGTATAACATGTTTCCCATGCTTGGCTTCCTTTTTGGCGCTCATAAGAAAGCCCTGACGAACAGAAGAGAATTGAATGCTTTTGTCACTGAAAACTTCATTCAATGTCTCAATAATCTGGATGAAAATGACACAAGAAACTTTATTGATTCTTATCTTATACAACAGCGACAGGTAATATAATGTGCAGAAATGGCAGCCTGAAGTTTTCCATCAAAAAGCAAACCTAGCAAATTTGCAATGGCCTTCAAATATTGAGCAATCATTTATTTTGCCTGGTCTTCAGTACTCTAATTTTGAAAGGTTGTTTTGTACTATACTCATTAACTGGCATTTGAGGAACATTATATTTATTTATGATGAAGTTGTTGTTTTGATTCTTAGATAATTTGCACAAAAGAAGAGATAGCTTCATATAAAAAGAGTATTATTGGGGTAGTTACATCAATTGCATAGAAAGTAATATACTGTATTTCAGGAAAAACATATTCAAAGACTTACAATAACAACTACACATTTTCAAAGGGTTTTTCTTAAAAAAAAAACTGATTTAAAACACAATAAATAAATTGTGAATATATTAAACATTGGCCAGATTTAGATTAATCCAACATCAGGTCTTTGTACATGGCATTTCATTTCTTTTAACTTTAGGAAAGGAAGATCCAGAACAATGGGTATTTCAACCATAAAAATCTAGAAGAATCCGTGACAAATCTATTCATTGCTGGTGTGGAAACAATTTCAACCACTCTATTTTGGGGCCTTACGCTAATGATGAAGTACCCTTTAATTCAGAGTAAGTGCTTTATAATTTGACAGCTTCCATTACTTTAGTATCTTGATTTCAGGTATGCAGTGTTAGATGTGGAGTAACTAAGGTAGGTGACAGTGACTTTGGATAATACCTGAGTGAAAGAGGGGGGAAAAGGCAAGGAATTCCATTTCCAATTTTGTGTACTGACTTGAATCATGCAGAAACACAAATGGAACACCTGCCTTAAAGCAATTTGTTTTTTCCATCCCTCTCTATGCTCCAGAGCATGTTTTGGAAGCCAAATCCAAAGCATGGTGTAGCTCTAGAATTTAATGAGTACATGCGATTAGTTACTGGACAACTAAGATGATGCAAGACGTTGGAGTCTATTATATTACTTAGAATATGCAAAACCCAGTAAGACCAACAGAGACTCCAGGCAGGGCACAATAAAGTCATATCCACACAAACACAAACCAGAATTATTAAAATCCCCATGAAACAATAACAATTCTCATAGGTTCCCAATGGTTTAATCTACCTTAGAATCTCAATGCCTGCTGAAACAGGACTACTTTTCTCCTGGCCAGCTCAGACTCGGAAGATGAAGAGGAGTTACAGGAGGATCACAGCCTTTTTCTGTTTGAAAACCTTTTTAGTAATGAAATAAGATTTATCTTTGTTTCTGTGATTTCCTCAGGCTGAGTTAGGACAGCTTTGGCTATTTTATGAAGTATCAGTAGGGTAGGCGGCATTTGTAGCTCCAAAGGAGATTCTTCCATACTGAGTGGGGTCTGCCACTCAGAAGGCCTGCTACCTGGTTCACCCTCCAGGCACCTACTCAAGAGGGGAACCAGCAACAGAATGTCTCTTCACAACCAAACTGGATGGTCAGGTTGAATTCTGGCATGGTGTTGTCTGATATATCACAGGTTTTTTTTCTTTTTACGACCTCTAATCCACGGGCCGGATGTATCACCAGGAAACCACGCCCACCCCATTGGCGGCAATGGGGAAAAAGGTCCGATACGTCATGTGATGTCACAAGTTTGTCATGTCTGCTCTACTCCCTTGCTTCAGGGTAGGGTCAGTTGAACTGAATGGAGTGTTTACTGGCTGGATGCCCTTCCTGATGCCTACACAGAGTTCTCAGCAGATATTTTCTCTTTGCACCCTGATAAACATTTGTCACTGCCTAGGATTGAATTCTCAACCTATGAGAGTGGGAAGCATCTTTACCTGTAGGCCACCGCATTGCTCAATCTGATATATCAGAGTATTATGTATAAAAAACACAGGGATCATATATACATTTAAAGCTCCTGTCTTATTTTTCTCTGCATATATCTTCTTTAATTTGAACTAGTGAATGCACTATTCCTCCTCAATTTCCAAAGAAAATTTGGATCTCCTACCATCACAATTTTATATTCCCAAGAGTTAACACCATATCCAACACACTGAGTTTATGTTACTGGATATTATTGTTTATTATTTCAGAAAAGGTCCAAGAAGAAATAATAAATGTTGTTGGATATGCTCAGCCAAGAGCCGAACACCGAACAAAAATGCCATACACAGATGCTGTAGTCCATGAAGTTCAACGATATGCCGATGTCATTCCCTTAAACTTGCCACATGCAACTACAGTGGATGTTAACTTTAAGGGCTACTTCATTCCAAAGGTGATTGTATCTGTATTGTTCAAAAGCTTTCATAAATCACTTGCCACAGACTCTATTAATTCTAGGAATGTTGTAATCTGCCATATTTGATTTTATTCAAACTCTATGGAGGCACAAGCTTCCATACAGATAGAGCCAAGTGTATGTTGTGGGGGGAGAACTATATTAATCTATGGTAGCCAAAAATATACCACCATAATGATCAAATAGGAATGCAAGTTATTCTTAAGAATAATTAAGTGACGATGTTTCTCATACATTCTGATAGAATACTTTTTGTTTTGCCATCTACATGTAACATATGAGAATCTGCTGTGTAAGGACTCTTTTATCCATGGAGAATAAGGACAGGAATAAAGACTATGAAGTCTTAATGTTTCCTTGGATTAAGGAGCTTTCTATTGCATATGGAGAAGAACTATGGAGCTCAGTGCTGTTTACTATCAAGTAAACATCTGAAGATATATTTTTTTTGCTTGCAGTGCAGCAGAAAAGCCTTTCATAAGCTCATTTTATAGTTGCACAAATAGAAACAAAAGCACAATGTAGTTCAACAATTCTAAAAAACTCTCTATATAATCCAGAGTAGGTGATTGGGCAGATTAGTGCCCTGTGTACCACACTGGAGATTTTAGGATTATACAATAACTTGGTGCATTATATACCATCTTGATTTTTGAATCACCTATTGCTTTCTCTTTATAGGGCATCCAAGTCATTCCATTGCTAACTTCTGTGCTCCATGATGAATCTCAGTGGGAGAGACCTCACGAATTCTACCCTGAACATTTTCTTAACACTGAAGAAAAATTTGTAAAAAGAGATGCATTCATGCCTTTCTCTGCAGGTATAGTAGTAGCTTATTTTAAATGATATTAAAATGCTATTTAGACTTTCCCCTTCATTAAAATCTCCCCAAGGGGCTAGCAGACGTAAACGTTAATCATCAATAGTTTTTTAGCTGTTATTTTTGTCCAGGGTGATGCTAACGTAGAGGTTCCCTGTGAGGAAGGTGATAATAATAGTAATAACAATAATTTATTAAATTTATATGTTCACAGTTTAGAAAGAAATATAGCCATAAGCATTAAAGGGTCCAGCTGTACTTCTGAACATCTCTACTTTCAGTTTTATTGGCAGGGCATCCTAAGAATATTTTTTTTAAATAAATCATGACTCTGGTAAACAGAAATATTTATTCCTGCTGTTTTAGCACTGTAATAGGATTCATGATATACTTCAGTTTTGCAAACCAGTTATAGGAGTATTTTTAATGGCTGTATATCAGTCTTTCAGAATTTGCATTATTCTTCGATATCATAAGTCAATATGATATTGCTACATTCTAACTTCTCTTCTTAAATTGGATTTGTTATTCTGAATTTTACAGTAAACTCTCAGACCAATACTATTAACATAACTAATAAATCCAAATCCTCTGTTCTCTATTCCTTGTTACAGGTCGGAGAGTATGTCCAGGTGAGACCCTTGCCAAAACAGAGATATTCATGTTCTTTACTAGTCTTCTGCAGAGATTCACCTTCCAGCCAGCTCCTGGACTATCAAAAGAAGACCTGGACATGACCCGTGCAGTTGGGTTTACAACACCTCCCAAGACTTACATGTTATGTGCTGTACCATGTTTCTAAAAACTAGGGATATTCAGAGACTCGTGAGTCTCAATCGTTCAGCTGTATCTGTCTTTCTTGGAGTCTTTTTTTTCTTGCAACATCTGGTTTTTGGATATGGTTTTTTGGTGGCCTATATATATATACCTTTTCTTAAATGTTAAGAGTACCACATATCGTTTTGCTGAGTCCCATAAGATCAATAGTTAACAAGGATATATCAAAATTGGTAATGGTAAACATCAAAATTTATTTTTTTAATCAGAAGGTATGATCATCAGTTTCCAAGAAAAAAGCCAGTTCCCAAATGAGCAATACTATCAGTAGTAGACAAAGGATACATCAACATTGGTCCTTAGTTTTTGTATCAGTCACTACATAGGAACAATTAACAAACTGCCCACATTTTATGTATAATTTATACTTACCTTTAAAGCATTAAAAACCCTGTTTGCAGCTAAATCTGTGTTTATGCTCAGATGAAAACCAGTGAAGATCTGATTTGGGCAAAACATCAATGCCCCAGCTTTATAGACAAAATATATTCTACTTTTTATTGGTTAAGGTATGAACATCTATTTCCCAGAAGAAAAACTGATTCCCAAATGATCAAGAAAATTGGACACTTTCCCAACATTGACTCCTTTGCCTGAGAACCATATTACCCTGACTGAAAGTCCCTCATTTATTGAAATATATATTTATGACTACATTTTCCTATCTTTAGTAAACCATCTACCAAGGTACATAAATTCAGTCACCATTTATATGTTTTTTTCCATTTTCCTGTTCTGCATAACCTCGATGGTATGGGAGTCACAGGGACAAAGTCATATATATTGTATTTACCATCCATAATTGTTGAAGGACTTGCATTGAATCTATCCTTTTGCAACAAGAAATACAGACACACACACACACAGACACACATATTCATATCCCCAACCAACATGCTCTAATGTCACCACACATGTTCCTGATACATTTTTGGACTGCTTTGTTCAATGACTAAATTAAACATTAAATCCCTTCTCCTCCTCTCCGTGTACTCTAGCTGCAGGAATAATTGAGGAAGGGGTGATTGTTTATTAAGAATGAGGACATGATTTGTGAAAATATGACCAGGTGATGAGGGACAATAAATGTGAACTAACCTCAGTTTTTTGCTTCTGACCTTCTCACCATAGCTGTATCTCCCTGCTTCATGAAAAATTAATTATGAGCTTTAGAGAGAAATGTATTCCCCATGTACTTGCTAACAGGAAGGGAAACAGAAAGAGAAAGGATGATGCTTCAGGTGCAAGCAGCAATTGCCCGAGTCTTCCCCACCAATGGCCTAGAGCCCTAACAAATCATTTTTGGATTGATGCAGTCCTGAAAATAGGACTTTTCCTGCTTCACTTGCTAAGACATCTGTGAAGTGAAAAGAGAACCACCAAGGGAAACACATTGAACAGGAGGACAACTTCTCCAAATGAAATCAGTGGCTTGCATAGGAATGTAGTTCCTACTTGTTCCCTATTCAGATAAGATAAGATAAGATAAGATAAGATAAGATAAGATAAGATAAGATAAGATAAGATAAGATAAGATAAGATAAGATAAGATAAGATAAGATAACCTTTCTTGTCATTTTTTTACTGTGGGCACAAAGGCACACATCAAAAATGAAATTTAGTTGCCCGCTCTCAAAGTGAAACACATATATGACACACACCTAAACATACTATGAACAACATATGTATAGACCCACATCCTTACATGTACGTAGCAAATAAATATTAAACACTGTCCATCTTGAATATATAACGGAAGGAGGAAGCTTGAGAGTTCACAAGGTTAATGCTGTATGGAATGAAACTATGGCTGAATCTGGATGTTCTGCTTCAGATACCACGAAGCCTCCTCCCAGAAGGTAACAAGGAAAACAGGTTGTGAAGAGGATGTATAGTGTCCTAAGGACCCTGCTTAAGCAACACTTCTGTGCTATGCCCTGGATGGGAGGGAGGGAACTGCCAATGATCTTTTTGGCCATTCTCACCACTCTCTGTACCGCCTTTCTGTCTGAAGCAGTGATGCTTCCAAACCAGACTGTGATTCTGTATGACAGGATATTCTCAATCGTCCCCCTGTAGAAAGTGGTCAGGACAGCGGAAGGAAGATGTGCTTTTCTCATGCGACGCAGAAAATGCAGCTGCTGCTGTGCCCGCTTCACCAGTTTCTCACTGTTGAGCGACCAAGTCAGCCTACTTGTTAGCTGCATACCCAGGAATTTGACACTGGTAACCATCTCCACAGGTGAATCATTAATGCACAGAGAAGTGTGGCTGTGCCTGCCTTTTCTGAAATCAACAATGATCTCTTTGGTTTTTCCGGTATTTAAACTAGGCTGTTTTCCTTACACCAGTTCACCAACCCTTCAACCTCCTTGCGGTAAGCTTCCACCTTGTCATCCTGAATAAGGCCCACTACTGTTGTATCATCTGCGAACTTCACAATATGGTTGGTGGCAAACCTAGCACAACAGTCATGAGTCACCAGGGTGAACAGCAGCTGACTTAAGACGCAGCCCTGAGGAGAACCTGTGCTCAAGAAAATGGTATTAAAGGTATTTGTTCCAACTTGCACATATTGGGGCCTGTTGGTAAGAAAATCAAGAATCCAGTTGCACAAAGGAGTGTTTAAGCTTAAAAGGCCCAGTTTGTCTACTAGATGCTGGGGAATGATTGTGTTAAACGCCAAACTGAAGTCGAAAAACAGCAAACGCACATGAGTATTTCTTTCCTGTAAGTGCTTCAGGCTCAGATGGAGAACGTAAGAAATAGCATCCTCCGTAGAGCGATTTGGTCGGTAGGCAAACTGAAGCGGGTCAAATGCTAGTGGGAGGCTAGATACAATAGTGTCCTTTATCGGAGATGGGATGTAGGGAGGTGGAAAGGAGGAAAGAGGAGAGGTTGTGGGTTTAGGGGGAGGAAGGAAGAAGAAAGTGAATGAGGGTGGAGGAAAGGCGGGGACTGCCGAGCGTCTCCGAACACGTATTGAGTAGGATTATCTTTTTTGCTTGTGTAAGTAAATGCATCATATTTGTATTATTTGTTGTTTAATTTCAAAAATTAATAAAAATGTTATATATATATATAAAAAATAGTGTCCTTTATCAGCTTCTCAAAGCATTTCATGATGGTGGATGTCAGTGCAACTGGACGGTAATCATTGAGGCCTGTAGTTGTGGACTTTTTTGGCACTGGCAAGATGATGGCCATCTTAAAACATGATGGGACCACTGCCTGCTGCAATGAGAAGTTGAAAATATCTGTGAGAACACAAGCCAGCTCCTCTGCACATTCCCTGAGGACACGTCCAGGGATGTTATCTGGGTCTGCTGCTTTCCGAATGTTAACTGTCTGCAGTATTCTGTCTGCAGTTTTCCGGACAGAGGTGACATCAAAGCTTGGCACTTGCTCATCAAGATGGGGCACAGCTTTCCTGGCAGGAGTGCTATTAATGTGTACATTAACATGTATGTACATATGTCCAAATAGATATAGTGCACAAAATGCAGATTCATGTACTGTATTTTAAAGAAGCAGGCAATAAGAATTTGAAACTGGGGAAATGGCTCCAAAAACACTCATGTCAAATAATATCTGAGAACCACATCTTCTATTTAGAAATGGAGAGGAAAATCAATAGACCCATGAGTTTATCATTACCTTCCTCCTGAGTAAGTTGTCCAGGATGACAGATCTTGAATGATCACTGACACACTGGGAATCATCCAAGAAGGTTTTCATCTTTGAACCAAATATAATGGTCTCATGCTCATAGTCACTCATGCAATACATGTTTCTTGTTTTGATCACTGCAATGCCTCACTCTACATGAGGCTGTCCTTGAAAACCGCCTAGAAAATTTAACTGGACCAGAATGCAGCAGCAATACACAGGTTTGGAAGTCCTAAAGTTCTTTCTTTTTAAATTACAACCTTATTGTTTTGTTAGTCACAAGGGTTTCATGGATCAGAGCCCACTTCCCCAGGTCACCTAGAAACTTTAACTGGGCAAGAACTTAGCAGCACACACAGGCCTGAGAGTCCTGAAGTTACATTATTGCTGTGTGAGTTTATTTCTGGGGGCAATTCAAGGTGCTGATTTAAAGCCCTATATGGCATAGAATCAGGTTATTTGAAGGACTGCCTCTTCATGGATATTTCTACCCGTCCAGCTGGATTGTATAGATGGGCTCATTCTTGGTGCACTGTATTAAATGTTATAATCTTGTGAGACTTCATAAGCCAACAGCTTCCTTGCCTGAAATATGGAGGGCCTATACCTCTCTTCTTTTCATAAGGCCTTGAAGACCTCGCTTTTCTCTCAGGCATTGAGTCAGGATGGGAGCCAAACCCAACATTTTTTTCTTGAGTGGAACCTAGGTTTGTGATAGAGTTTTAATTTTTTGGCCTACATTTAAAAAAAACACTCTTTAACATGTACAGAGCTCTTCTAGACAGCTGGATTAAAAGGAGGTGTTAATATTATTTATAAGCAAAAACTAGGCATCTCCAAGCTTTAGCTTCTAGTTTTGTGATTAGTGTATTACTTAGAAAGACAACCACTTATACAATCATCCACAGATAAAATCAGCTGCTTTTCAAATATAACTTCTATTTTTTTTGTTTTGTATCTCCAGTCTCTAAATATGCAACTTACACATTTTACAATTACATATCTTTTCCTAGATAAAACCTCTTTACAGCAATGGCTGAGAGGAAAGAATTCATCAAATATTATTAAACTTGTTTAGTTAGTCAGCAATGGAGTCCTATGCAACAACAGAGCAGTGATCTTTGCTCAGTCTTGGCTCCTCTCTTAATGTATCATGTTCACGGTTAACCCCCTGATTAGACATTGACTTTGATGTTTCTAATTAAAGAATAGCCTCTTGGAGGTATTGTTTGTCAACACATTGTTTTTCTGATTCTTAAGTAGGATTATAATCATAACCAATGCGGCAATTAAATA